TTACCTGACTGTCACAGAAACAAATGAATACTTTTGTGGGTACAGAAGGGATAAACAAATTAATTAACCATTTATTTGGCTATACAGCTTTTATCCTCAAAACACCTACTATGATGCAAAATATTTGTTCTGTGCACAGCTATTTTTCAAGCTCTAATTTTAAATATATATAGGGAATAATTAAAAAAAAAATTTCATTTGCTTAATTAACTGCCAGAACCTTTGGCAATTCAGCCCTTTCTATAGCACAGAAGCGAATATATTATTTTAAGTTTATGCAGAAACCTGAAATTTATCTTAAACCTCATGTGTCTTTAAGGCCAAAAACCACTGAAGAATAAATGAATAATAACATTTTCATGTGCCACATATGTACTAAAGATGTAGTGCAAGCATGCTATTCTCATAATTTCTTTCTGTCATTTTCAGTTTATTTTTCCTGTATACTCTTGAACATGAGAAGAGCAGATAAAATAGCATCAATACTCTAAAAGTTATCAGTATGAGCCTCAAGATACTATTTTCAAGTGGAGCATCTTTAAACCTATTCTAGCTTTTAATTTCCACAGGAAGTAAGAGCTCGGTGTTTTTTTTTTTTTTCCAAAAGAAAGTTTAAATACTTTTAATTACCACATTTTTAATGTACTGACATGTTGATGGTCAGATGTTCTTTGATGCTCAGAGTTAGACTGGCAGAAATCAGAGCAGTGTAGGGGCTTACAAAAACGTGGTATTAATGTTTGGCAGCAATTACTTTGTGAAAAACACAAGGTGACTCTCTTTTTTCTCTCCTTCTCTCTTCTTTTTTATATTCTTTCCCCTCCAAGTTCAGCATGAATCTAAAGAGCTAAAAACTAATTTAACATGACAAATGCTTTCATCACTCCCTTCGCCTCTGAAGTGAACACTCTGACAAAGACAATATGTGTGGTATATGTTTTCCTTTTGACACTTTATAAATTACTTTCTTGTAACTGGATTTCACCACCAGCCCAATATCTTCAGGATGTCCTAATTTGAATGGCTGGTTCTACATTCTTCATATGTCACCCCCTGATAACAGGAATAGCTCCTGGGCTCTGTGAGGTGACGTATGTCTCAGGACTGAAGAACAATTTTATTTACATACTGCATGCTGGAATTTATCAAAATGTTGTGCAATACTACCGACTTATACTCTGCATTTCATCTGCATCTGGCTGCTGAAGCTACTGAAGAAACAGGGAGAAGTGATAAACCTGCCTTTAAAGAAGCAGTCAACATTTTGTATACCGTGGAAGGAAAAAGTTAACTGAAGTGAATTTTTTGTATTCTCAGCAATTAAAAATAGTATAAAACTTAGCCACAGAAACATCTTATAATGCTCTTTTTCATGGAAACAATCTGAAAATTTTTTTTGCCTCTGTCTGTTCCTTTAACATAAAGCCCAAAGTTGCTTGATTTGTTTTCAACCTGGGGAATCTGATGTCTGTCAAAGTTTCTGCAGGAACTCCGTCAGGGTAGAGGAATTCAGGTACAGAACAGTATGTCTAAGATGGCAAACTGTACATGTACAAAACCAAGTGTATTTTGCACATACACCATCCATCTACATGTGTCTTAAAAAAGAAAATTAAACCCAAAGTTACCTTCTAACAAGACATACTGTCATTATTTTGACAAATGTTTAAATTCTTAAAATCTTGGTAGTAACTTTATTTAACATCAATTACGTAGTGTGGCAAAAAGTTCCCAAGGTTATTATGCACTATTAATTTATTTGTAAAGCTTTAAACTTTGCATTGATTGTATTTTTATTTGTGCGTTATCAGAAAGGCAACAGGAATGCTTAAATAATTTTTTAAATATTTATTCCTTTCTACCTGTTATACTTTTTTTGCTTGTCTCTTTAAATCACCCCTCATTAGAAATTTTTCCATGCCACCCATAATCTTCGGCAGTCCTCTGAAAGCCCCATGTTTAAAAGTATAGACCCCACATCTTCAACGATCTATCCATATCAATTCCCCCATCTCTTTTATTATAAGACACATCATTTAGAAATCCTGAAGACTATGAGAACTTCAAAGTATTCTTTCACTCTAATTTACCTCATATTTGCCAACCTTTTTTTTTTTCATTTAGTCCTGCAATAGTTTTTGATTAGCACCGATATGATCATCTTCACACAGCCTAGATATATGGACAAACCTAAGTAGCAGAACCATTTGCTGCAAATTTTGATGACTTGTTCCATAACTATTGCTTTTAGGTAACGTAACTCCCGTGATATAACCTCTGCTATGGTGGAGAGCAAGAAATTTTATTTGCAGACATGTACAGTACAAAAACATTATCAGCACCTTTAAAGCCTCTCCTATGCCTCAAGTTCTGACAGCAAAATACATCAAGAGGAGTTACTGCAATATGGAGTAGCACCCTTCCTCTGCGCGCTGTGCGGGAACGTAACATCCTTCTTCATCCCCAAACTGCCAGCTCTCCTGGGAGATTAACAGCTCTCACTCTCCCACCGTCTCAATGATTAGGACAGAATTGGGATTTTGGTCTGATCTGAACATTATTCTGGTCACCCGTTTTGAAAGCAGAAAAAATGTTTTTCCTCCTGACAGAGCAAGACAGAATTATTTTGTCTCCACAGCAGTTTGGGGATTAGTAGCTCAGGAGCTCCAATAGAGCTGCAGAAGAGCCGGACAGCTGGTATTTCACATTGCTGCTCATTCCCCAGGAGAGAGGATATTTAGTTTTCCCAGGACTCAAGTTCTGTACATACCCAGGAGAAGGTAACCCTCCAGAGAAGTGCAGAACAAGGAAAGGTTCTAAAGGTTTTTTTTAAAATAAAGAGATGATTTAGCACCTGAAGTACCAAGCACCTTAAGTCATACTATTGGAGGACAGCAAGGCCCAGCAATTTAATGGGAGGATTAGCTTATAGCTGATGGTCTTACACCTGCTCTTTGTTGTGTAGAATGAATCATATGAGCTTTTGCTGAGAGTGAGGGAATTAAAGTAATGAACGGCCTAAGTAAAGCACACCCCTTTTACCCTCCTGTGGTTCTCATGCCCCGAAGGCAATGCAACTTCTTTTTTGTTTTCTCTTTTCTCTCTTTTCCATCACTTTAAATTATGATCACAGTGGAGCCATCAAATTTATTCACTGGATTAATTGCAGCTATTTTTTGGTTTTGACAGCTACTCTTCAATATACTTATTCTTTACTGTGTGTGGCACGAAGCTTGTCAGGTAACTTCTCATTATTTAAGCCTTGAGCTAATGCTCTCTTCCTTAAACCTGCTTTCTTGTGTTCATTAGCCAACTCTATTGCGCTCATCATTCTTTAGTCAGGAAAGAAGACCTAAAAAACTTCTGTCAAAACGGATCATTTATGTCATTACTTAAAAAGATAGATCATTCATCAATTATTAAGAGTCAATGCATTGCCGTACATTTTCTCGTCTTAGACAGTATACGAAAGTGTATAAAGCAATAACCATGTTGCAAAGCTTTGCTTTAGATTACAGTAACCTAAATACCAAGGAAAAATACATTTCATAATCCATCACTTCAAAGTTATGCACATGATTAAAATATTCAACTTGCAGTATATCGCTTCCCATGTGCATAATCACTCAAACAGAGAGCTGTTGTATGATAACTGTCAAGTTCAATAAATCATGTGCTTTCCAATCTTTTTATTTATATATCAAACTAAGCCCGTTATTCTTCTGAGGTTTTCTACAGAAGCAATAGAGAGAGATGGTTAGCTCTGTAGCACTGAGTACGCTGGGATGAAGGCCCGGCCTGAAGAGACAGCAGCAATAAAGTAGCCAGTCAGCACTCTCCTACTACTGTATATACTAATTACATATGGAAGCTCATGAGTATAAAAAAATGGGGTTTCAGCAAACAGTATCTATCCTGTTGAGTCAGATTATATGGCATCCAAAAAAAAAAAAAAATTAGTTTTCTTCAAAAGGAGAGAATAGGGAGAAAATTCACTACCTCTTTATAGGTCTTTTGAGCACTGTATGTGAGAATAGCTCCAGAGATGAACTAAAACCCCCACAAAATAGGTCTGGAAAGTATTAGCAGAAAATACTGACAAGCTGCCATAGATTTGCCATTTACTTAGAGAAGCTAGAGAGTTTGTGCAGCCTGTCATTGTCATCGATGTATTGTTGAAGGTCCTGGAAAAGGTGCAAAATACACAGCCAGTTTGTGTAAACACTTAGAAAAACCTCCAGAACGACAGACAATGAGGAGGATAGCGGTGGCGTGGGTGGGTGTGGAATCAGAAATGAGTTAAATTCAGACAGACAAAATAACAGAAGCATGTTAAAACAATCTCGAAAGACCACAGAAAGAATTAGGGCATGGTGTGGTTAGTATTAATATATTAATCACAGGAAATAAGTACAACATCCTTTCTATATTTTTGCTTAGAAAATACTAGGGATGTGTGGAATACAGAAAATAACAGCACACAAAAAGGAACTATCTAACTATTTAGATCTAACACCACCAGGAATTTAGGCACACAGACAGATACAGACTGAGATTTATTAATCAAAATGATTTTGTGTTTTTTATCTAAAGGCAGCATGTGATGGTAATATTTGAATTCAAATGCCAGTGGCTTCTCTTACTTACATGGATTCATCACCTATCACAATTTTTTCCAAATATTTTTTAAACACACGGTAGTAGATCAAAAAATCATTATATCACCCTCTCTTTGGACCATCTATGAGAGATGCATAACCAGCACCTAAAGTTAATGCTGCATATTGAGAAGCCCAAATCAATTTCTTGCTTCCACTACTCTTATGACAGCGAACAGGACTTGAACATTTTATTTCTGCTCATTAATCAGTATAAGGAATAATAATTTTCATTGCTCATTAAGAACACAAATTTGTGGAACAGATTGACCATCCTTTTATCTGCTGAATTTTCATTTGCTGACATAGCCATGTGATTTGATAGAGAAAACGCAGCCTTACCTATGAAATATGCTAGCAGGATGGCAAGCAGGACTGCAGCAGCAATTGCAGATAAAGCAGCACATTTCCAGCTACAATACTTTGAGGGTTTTTTCAGCTTGAATGCATTCCTGGAGAATGTATTTCTGGGTAACAGTCTGGGAGGTGGAGTATAAACTGTTCCTGAGGTCAGCGGGTAACCAGGGGAAGAACTACTGAACAGCGGAGTAGTTCCAGAAGATGTCTTAAACAAGAAATGCCTGAAAAACATAAAATGGAACACAGTTGAAAAAGGCAAATCCTGTGGTTAAGAAAGGCTATGTCGTATTCCTATTCTATTCCAGCTGCCACAGTGTGCTAAATTCAACTAAAAAGAAAAAGGATTTTGTATGAAGAAATGAGGAGATGAAAATTCTCATAGTCTTTTTGCTACCAGAGCTTAACAACTGTCACCAAATCACAGTGCCAGGATATCTGCTTAATCCTTTCTGTAATTAGATGCAACTTGAGCAGATACTAGCTAAAACACTGGTGTGACCGATGGAGTTTCCCACTTGGGGTCGCACCCGTAAGAAGTGCAAGCAGTCCAGTCACAAAGCTCAGATTCAGAAGCGACGTCACCACCAATTCCTTTTGGTCCGTGTTTGATTAGAACAAAGCAACTAATTCCACTGCAAAGTACCTGTAACATTTATCAGTATAACAGAATGCTTAACTTTACGAGAAAACATCCTTTCTGAGTTCACAAGGTTTACATGATTTCCCTGTGGAATCCACCACCTAACAAATAATCTAAGACAAAAAAATTATGAGTCTCATTAACACTCTTGGCAAAAGCTGCCAGCAAAAAACATTAAGAACATAAACCATAGTCCTGTAAGAAAAGATCCTGCCCAAATTAGAATGAACCATTATTTTTTTTAATGGTACACAGGTTTGGTTTGAACATCTAAGATAATCACCAAAAGCACATGACTCAGCAGGAAAAAAAAGAGGACTTCAATTTCCCATGCATTTGTTAAGAAGAAAACAAGGGACAAAATATACTACCCAACAAAATCTCAGAAAATGCTGCCAACACATTCCAGATAGAGGAAATGGAGAAAACAAACTAGAAGACTGGGCTTCTCTATTAACATCTCACAGTCAGGAAGAACTGACTACAAGCAAGTTCCCAGTAAACGATAAAAAGAGAAGCACAGACTAAAGGCAGCGGTCTTCAAGAAGGCCATGTGTTTTGAGACAAAGGAGCTTTGAAGATCCATTCCATACCCCACCCCTTCACAGCTCTGGAAAAACAAGTGCTTCTTGGAATCAATGTGAATGCAGGTACTCACTATCTCCAAAGTCAAACCCATAGCCTAAATAACCCAAGTCTTACTTCAAACGTAAAAATGTTTAACACTTCTGTTCATATTGGAATCCAGTACGTCACTATCAAATCGCCTGTTAGACATTTAAAACCAGTTTCAGTCACTGTTTATTACAACAGCGGTTTGGAAGTTTGAAACTGAAGTGTGTTTCCCAAGTACGGTTTCCAACCCATGACCACACATGCGCATGCTTCCAAGCATAGAGTTTACTGAATACTTCTACAGAATAACCAAAGTGACTTTAAAGAGTATTAAAGCATTTGTTTTGAACTAAAACCCAGAGCATAATAAATTGCATAGCATTTACATACAGCTAAAAGACAGGAAAAGGCAGGCTGGCTAGGTTTCCCAGTTTCATGATTAAACGTTTGGAGACAGTCTCTGAAACTGTCACTTAGTTTGACACTGCCTTTGTTGTCTTTTTTTTTTTTTTTTTTTTAATGCCCAAATAACCTCGTACATCCCTTACAACGGTGATCAAAATTTAGTTTGTTTCAGAAAATATTTCAACCACCTAAGATAGTGGTGGTATTCACTGTCATAACTTCTTCTTTGTGCTTTGGAGACATCCCAGAAAAAACTTCAGATGCACAAGACCACAATCAGAAGTGGCTTTCGCAGCCTGAGTATCTCAAGCAGATTAATTGTCTGGGGGTTTTTTTTGGCTTTTTTTTTTTTTTTTTTTTTTTTTTTTAAATAAACACAGTGTATGTAAAACAAGGAAAGAAATAGAATAAGGGAATATTCTAACCAGTTACTTAATAGAAACATTCTGTCATTTTTTTCAAATAATGTTGCCCTACTTTTTTCCTTATCGGTGAGGCTCATTAGCCATTAGAATTGCTTCTTTTCTGCACATTGTACGTGATCTATGAGAAAACACAGTAAAGGCAAATGCTAAAAGGGTTTCCCCCTCAAAATTACCCAGTCTTTTAAATAAAACCCCACACCTTCCAGTTACAAGAAAGCAAGGAATAATGAAAGTCTGATTTCATGAATACTTCGTTTTAAATGTTTCTTTACTTTACAACGATTCAATTAAAATAACTGCAGGGAAAATGATGTTATCAGGCTGGTTGTGTTACACCAGATCTATTGACATCTCTATGCCTTTTGTCCGGTTCAAACCTGATTAACACTTGTTAGCAGAAACAGCTTTAGTCCCTTCTCCTTGCTCTCCCGTGTTGGGAACACAATACCACTTCTGCGATAGGAACTAGGGATTGAAGTGACACGAAGCATGAGGAAGGAAAGAAGGAAGGACAGAAGGATGAGAGATTTGGTGAGACAAAGGCAGGCTGGAAGGCTCCTCTCGCTCATTCAGACTAACCCTGCATCTGCCTCCGCCCAGGACCCCCCCTTCTCCTAAATCCTCATGGCACGAGCAGCCCTTTCAGGTTTGGACCTAAGGGTCTACAACAACTTACAGTTCTTTCCTTTTTCCTGCCCAAAAGCAGCTCTCATGGAATCAAACTGGAAACTGCAGTCCTTGGCACTGTCTTCATCCAAAACGTCAAGGTTTTTAAACCCAGGAATTTTATGTCCTCTTTAGCTGAGAAGGCAGCTACAGTACCGACAGAAATTTTAATATAAAGCATTGTTAAAGTAAACTCAGATATATAATGAAACTCTGCTCCCATTAAAATTGAATTAATGAATATCTAGATATGTTTTAATAGAACATGCCAATCACTGTTTCATGGGAGAAGAAGAAAAAGTAGAAGAAAAAAATAGTTCCACTGTGATCCACTTTGTGATACATAAAATACATAAAGAAACTCAAAATACTTATCTATGCAAACATGATCTCTATTATATTCTTAAAACTTATCAGAACTTGATATAAGCAAAAAAGGAGATTGAAATGGATACATGGAATGGTGTTGTTCTCAAAGCAAAAAAGAAAAAAAAAAAAATCATTGGATAAACTCTGAATTTTGTCCCTGTGAGTCCCACCCATGTATTTTGAAAGCCGAATGTTTCCTGTCTCCATGTGAGGACTCCTGACCAAGCACGCCACCTTAAAGTACAGAAATTCTGCCTTCAAAAGTTTTAAAAAGACATTTAACTGAAGATATGTTAAAAATCCACCAAGACATTTTGGAAAACTAGCACTGCATTCGGAAGTTGGAGACCAGATTAGCAGCAATACCTTAATTTATAGTGAAGCACAGCAGAAAGGCTGAGAAGGTAACGGACAAAGCACTCGGACCCCCAGAGTTTTAAGTCTAGATTCAGCTCCTAATGGAAATAAATTGACTTGTCTCAACTCTATCCCTAAACCCAATGATCTATAGCTATATTTTTATGTGGGATTTGACATGCTCTGGTACAACCAATTGTCTGTGGGCCCAAGCTGCATGGGGAGAACACGAGCATTTATCAACATTAATTACAGTCTCACAGCGGTAAGACTGGGGGGTAACGTACAACGACTGCTCATGAAAAGAAATGATCTTATTTGTACCCATACACTTAATTTCAAATATATTCCATATTAGAATTTAAAAAACTGTATATTCTGTCTTACCTGTTCGCATATCAAACACTATTAAGAAAAACACATTTTCTACCTCGCAATTAGCATTAATAATTTGATTTAGATTGTGGCTAAATTTCTATTTTGAAAACAGGGGAATAAATTTGCAAAGTGTCAGCCCAGTCTCCCCAATTTCTATACTGGAAAACTACAAAATATGATTGTCAGTAAACAATGATTCAGTAATTTAAGTGTCCATGAAAGCTATGGAAGGAGCTTGCATGCTGCTCAAGGAAATAAGTCAACCCTGTAGCTCGCCCAGTGCTCTCCTCTACTGCCCCGCAGCTTTCTGGGCTCTGAGGCGCACCCTGCTTTGCTGTAAGCACGCGCGCTGCTGATGCGCTGGACCACAGGCGGGGACCTCATCACTGACGCCAGGAGAAAGGTGACATCTATGAAAGCTGAGCTTGCAAGGGGACGTTTGTCCACAGTTCTGTGGAGTAATGGTAAATGGAAAAATCTTCATTAATTCAGAGCTCTCTATAGCATTTATTTTCCCACAGGTCAAAAGGACCTCTGGTGTTCAGGGAATAGCGGTCTGACAGAGATTGTATTAACTTCCATATTCTTTGAGAGAAACAACGGCAGCACACTGCAAGAATCAGTTGAGTAAAAAAAAAAAATTGGTTTTTGTGATGAAAAACTGTATTAGGAAGGAAGAACAAGATACTTTCTAACATAAATTGCTTTTTTTCCCCTCCTCATACTATCCTCAGCTTATTCTGTATGAAAAAAAAGAAATACAGAGAGCTATAATGTTTAAATTGTCTTTTTTTCATATTTTTTTCATAGTTTCTTAACAGTAATTAATAAATAGAAAAGATACATACCAACAGAATAGTAACAGCTCAACTTAGTGGTTCTAGGACTTAAAAAATATCTTCAAGCTGTGGTAAAATCACATCTGTCTATAATTTTATTGGATATTTATTCTTAGCAGAAAAAACTAACGAAATACAGAATGCAACATGTTGGCTTTCACTGGGGAAAAAAAAATATTTTCTACGCTCTAAGTCCTCTAAAAAATTTGTCATGAGTCATTTTATGTCAGTGGAAGCCTCAAAGTGGCTGCCAAATTCGGACAGTGAAGCTTTATGGCAGTTTTCTAACTTCCATACAAAACCAAACCAAAATCAAAGACAACTCCAAGCTGTTCTTATGCCTTCTATGCCAAAATGAGCTCCGAGTGTTAGAGTGGTGCAAGCTGTGGCTACCTGGGTCTCATTTTTTTCCCCCAAATGAGATCGAATAGCATGGGCTTACTCTCAGGTTCTTGCAGAGGAACAGGGCATTTCCAGCCCGGCTTACCCAGCTGGGGTGGTACACTTGCACACAAGTTTCTACCCTT